ACACCTCGGATTAAGGGATTTGTTTTATGAATTTAAAGATTAGAAATGCATGGCTTGTTTAGCCTAGCTGAGTGAAGACTGGCAAAGAGAAAGAGCCAGGGTGATACATTTCAGAGAAGTGCTATTCAGATGTATAACACGGGCAACAAAGACAAATGGATTACACAGCTTTAACCAGTACTTACTGGAAATTAGTTTTCTGTTCATCAGACACAAGTTTCTAGTACCTCAAGGGTGGAAGGAGAGCAAAAATCCTTATGTTTAGGTTGGCTCATGCTTAGTTCTGAGGTGAATGCAGGAAAAGAGGTGGATTGGGTAAGTCAGAATGGGATTCCCCTAATAGCCTGGTTCTATGACCCTGTTAAAGATGTGTGGTTAACTTCTGCCCATGTTGGAGCAGGTTGTGCACTCAAAAGGCCCCCCCTAGTTTTACATAGATGAAAATCTCAAAGCAGTGACACTTAGAAAAGCACCTAGAAAAACATACAGTATTTTGTGTGTGAGTCAGGAACAAGGAGGGCTCATATTATTCTCTGTTACTTGTTCCCATTTAAATAACAAAGCCATAAAAGGTGCATGTGAAAAAAAGCAATAAAATGATTAAGTAAATATTTCACAGCAGTCACTGAAAAGTTCCAGTTAATTGTAAAGAATTTGGATTAGATCAGAGAATTCGGTTTTCCCAATGATTAAAGAAGAAAGGAAACAGTGAGGTAAATAACCAGGTAGAAATAATGATGCACTTTAAATCTTCCACATGAATAAGTTGATCTGTTAATAGCTAATGCACTGTGCTGCTCCCCCTCCCTTCCCCCGCACTGTAATCAGCCTTTTGTCACATACCAGTGAAATCCATTAGCTGCAACTTCCTTATCAACTTCCAAGGCTCTTCAGCTACTAAGATATTTGCATATTTAACGATTCATTTGACTGGTATCAGCTCTCATTTACCAAGTGCTTGAGAAGAAAAACAAGGCATAGTGTGTAGAAGTCCTGTTTAAAAACAAAAAAGCACTGACAGCTCCTTTCAATAAACAGATTTATCTGAATTAATGTTATTGGAGTAGACTTGGTAAAAATCTGAGAAGTATCAACAACTTTTGGACCCATATTTTAATTTAAAGATTGTGAATACAAGGGAAAGCTCTTCAGCATTTAAATCAGTTTCGAATTTCACTCACTTTATTTCACTTTTCTCTGTGCTACTTGCACCAAATTTCTTTCACTTGTCTACTCCTGAATTATTTCAGTAGTGTTACTTTCTAGTACTTATGACATCACCACTACAACACCAACATAAAAATTAAGAAATCAAGAACAGGAGCAAGCTGATAAAGCCTAGGAAAGATTCTGTTTTGACACAAATGTCCTGGTAGTTTTATTGGCAAAGGAGCTAATGGGGGAGTAATGTCTGACAGTCACACAGAGGGTTTGCCAAGTGTATCTTTAAAATACACATGAATTTTGTATCGGGTCTTTAACTGTTATGCAGGCATGCTTCTGAAGAATGTGAAGTATATAAAAATGTAAAATATTGACTTATAGCTAACATTTTTTGATGGCTTTCAATAGAAGTATATAGATTCACACACTTAAGACTTCTCCTACTTTGATAACTAACCTTGGAGAAAACAAAACTTCTTTTTCTGCTTTAAAAACTTTCATGATCGATCTGTTACACTCTAAGTGCAAAGTGACAAGAGGGAGATAGACAGCCTCACTCTCTGAATGCTTTGGTACACAGCCTCCTAATCATTGCTAATGAAGCATTGCAGAATGCTGCAAAGAAATATCAAACATGCTAACTTGAAACTGATTTGACTTGCTTTGTCTCTGCTCACTACATATATGAGCTCCAGTTATATACAGTTTATGGGACATTGGCCATTTGTAAAATCTTTGCTGGGAATATGGCATATTAACTGTTAATAACAATGGTTAACATGAGGATGATGATATTGCTGATTAACATATCTGGGAAGAAAGATTTAATAGCTTCTTATTAAGCAAAATGTTAATCAGAGGTATCTGTGACAAAGTCAGATATTCTTTATGAAGTTTAGTTAAGCATCCTCATACAGTCCAGTAATTACAGGCACAGTATTTAAGGCTTCATTAAATTAATCTGAACCTCTTAGAATGTTAATTTTGAGTAAGCTTTACACCAGAAGTTTCACAGCTGAAATGTACTTTTCAGAAATGTAACTGACTTCCTCTTCAACACTATTCACTTAAGATGATAAATTATTTGCATTAAATGCATTATTTATTATAGCTTCAACATGCCTTTATCAATGTTGTCTTGAGAATTTATATTTACATTACTGGGCAATTATGAACAAAAAGACAGCTCAGAACATTATATTCTCTGGTGCACACAGGGCAAAATATAAACAACTGCTACCTCAGGTTAAGCTATATAACAAAAACAAGCTAATAGACAACAATGTATTTTATTTCTGGCAGCACTAAAGGTATTTTATGCACTGTACACAGTGAGAACAACAAATATGAACACCAATGCCACAGAGCATTCAGACTATCATAGCACAACTTGATGGAAGAGTTAATGCTCACGGGTACCAGATTCAGGAACTAAAATTCATTGATGATCTTGACTTGAAAGGCCCATGAACAGCATTCAGCAGCTCAGCTCAATTATTGTAGATGTAAATAGAATTCTTATTTTGAAAGTTGAAAATTCCATCCTGTATTTATTAGGCATCAAGGCTAAGTTGCATGACTAAACTGCTGAATGGCTCAGAGGAAAAAACCAGGACTTTTCTAGTCTGTGTTTCTCACTCCACAGTACCACATGAAATGATGAAGCTGCAGGTTGTAAGCAAGCATACAGAAACATGTGAACTGTGTGCTTGATTCCACCACTATGTGTTCACCAGGCCAGATGCATCAAGGAAACTCAGAGGAAAACCAGAGAGGTTCACATGAAAACAGGGTTTCAGCAGTCCAAACCACATACTGTCACAGGACATGGGAACTCAGGTTGTGCATGTTCAGCTGTCCTAAATACCTATAAACTGAACCTTTAGCAGGACTGACCAGAATACTGCTCTTCATCTGTGAAACCCTCAACAAAGACCTCAAGAAGTTTTAAATATTTACATAGCACAAGAGAAGTCTTCAAGTTTTGGGCTCTGTGACAAAAACCCACAGTTCTTGTAACTCCCCTCATCCCCAGAGTAGTTTATCATAGTTTATCACTCTGATGACAAAGCAATTCATGAGTGTACCTTCCTCAAGAATAACAAGTCCAAGTGATGTTACAAACCACCCAATAATTAATGGGAATTTTACACACTTATCATACAAGTGTTACCAGGGCTGGTAGGAAGAACAGAGACATAATTTGCCTTCCTATTTTTGTACACATGAAGTTTTACCACCTCCTCTGAGAAGTAATAGTGAAAAATGCAATTTATGGGGCAGAATATTTTGTTATCTGCCTATAAAGACACCAAAGAAAAGAACTTGATCTGGCCTGAAAATATATACAGATCTTTCCTTAACATCTCAGTTTCTGCAGAAAATACCCATTTTGACTATTCAATGCATCAAACTCAGTGAGGTAAAACACAGGGAAAGCTACCAGTGAGCAAAAGTAAAAAGAGCTGAAGTTTCACTTGGAAACACGGGCACAGGTCTCTGAATGAATGCCTATGGAAGAAACACTTTCTACATACAAGAGAGAAGAGGATTGGAAAACAGTGAGGCAGACCATCAACATATGAATCAACATATTCAGTGCAAGAATAACAAAACAACTGTCTTTTTTTAAAGGAAAGTAATCTGTTTCAACCCTCAGTACGTCTATGGTCCCAGGTGTACTGAGAAAGTTTTGCTGGTGTTTATCAAAATATACAGTATGGTCAAAGCAGTTTGTGTGTAAACACAGCTACATCAGTGAATTACAATTTGTTCTAGTAAAATAAAACTCTTCCCACACAGTTATTCTGAGGCAGTAGTTGATGTTACAGCCACTCTCACAGTACTATTTATCCCAGTTTATACAGCTATATTTGTATATAGCTCATATGTTGCTTAAGCATCCCTGCTATAAACAGTGCACCCCTTGCATGCCACTTACAAATTGTTTCAGACCAACTTCCCATTTCCCCTTCTTTCCAGTGTGCTGACTTACAAACAAAGCCATCGGTAAGACAAACATAAAAGAAAATGTATGTCTTCCTTGAAATTCTTGAAGTGCTTCAGCCTATGCTCCCTGCTCTTCACAAAGCCACAGCTCTCAGCAGCTTGCACCACACCACACCAGCTATGCCAGCAAATCCTCGAGCACCAAGAATTTCTGTCTGACCAGGGATTTACTAAACACCACCACACACCTGCAAAAGCCTCCCCATTGTATGCTAATATCCATGCCTTTAGAAAACATGAAGATAAAGCTTGGTCTCCTCCCTTGCTCTCCACCACAAGCTGCCAGGATCCAAGGCCCTCACTGAAGGGTAACAATTGAACTAGCAGGAAGGAAGCAGCATTACATTTAGTGATGCACAGGGGCTCCAGTAATCCGTCTTGTCTCTACCACAAAAATACCATGGGCTTAGTTGCCCAAAAGCAAGGCTCTGTTTATCTGAGTAGTGCTTTTCCAGTTGTTCTCATCCACTTCAGATCAGTGCAATCCTGTCCAGCGCCTGCAAATGAAAGCTCTCCAAGAGCTCTCCTAACCAAGTTACCTCCTTACCTGGCAAGTGTTTATATTTTACTCAGCCTGACTAACAGCATATGATTTTACACTTCTGTAAGAGCAACAGCTTTTGGTCATAGAATGAAGTGTAGGTGGTGCTTGCATACACTATGATACATTTTGATGGCCTTCCTGGGAGGCAGCTAATTTCAAATATTCACCAGAAAAATCTTCTTCATTATTTATGCATTGTGTATCTTAAACTTGTATCTTAAACATAATGTCTATTAGGTGCAAGATTACCCAGTAAAAGATATATTAATATCACGATACTTACAAAAAGCAAAAGCAGAAGTGGAGTTATAACAATGCCCTGTAAGAAACAAACAAAAACAGTGTGTTAGTCAGGGAGGCAGAAAAATCTTTACTTTCTTAGCTTAGTACATGGAAATACACAAGCATCATTTAACATCACAGAAATTAAGTAACAAGCTCAACTTTACTCTTCACTGAGCATGTTCTTTAACATGTATGCAGCAATCATTTTATAAACTATACTCAGTACCAAGTACCTTTTTTACCTTTTTGCATCTAAGTCCCTCTGTTCTAAAATATACAGATATATATTCTGATATACAGAAATATGGATCATTTATTTAAAAAAAAAACCAAAACCAAAAACATATTAAAGCTCTCCCCTTAGTGTGCTGTATCTTAACTTCACTAAGCAGCTCCTCCTTAGGGAAAGACTTGATCAAGTCCCATGGCACCCAGTCCCAGGTCCTCTTCTGAGCAGAAGCTGCATCAACTGTGATGAATTAGGTGTTGTGACTGTGTAATGTAAGCAGATATTCCCCAAGGAAATGAGCTGAGATCTCAAAACTCATTTCACTTGATTAGACTTCATGTCTCACTGGTAGAAGGCAAGTCTTTCATCTAATTTAATCACACAGGACCACCTCAGCTTTCCACATCCCCCAGGCAGATGCAAGCAAAAAGATTTGTTGTCTTCACTGACAAGGAACAGGTTTAAAGCTGATGATTGGACAAAATAGAGGATTTTAAGTTTCATGAAAGCAAATCTTAGAATGAGTTGTTTGGGTTGGGAGTTAACATGACATGCATCACTTTCATAGCTGCAAACAGCAATTCCCCATCATCCTTCCATCTGACTTCAATATTTTATTATTGCTCAATAAAGTGATTCCATCATTGACTGCATGCTAATTCACAGAGCTGGCCCAGAACTTCTCTAGGCCAGGACTATTCTTCATCCACATAGGTCACGAGAATAGCCAGCTTTTCAGCTATTCACAAACTTTATTTTTTAAAAAAAATTTTGGACAAAGGTCCAAAACACACCACATTTATCTGAAAGGGTGCTTACTTTACATTTTATTTAGCTACAAGTGAAAAACAACTGAACAAAAAAACCCAGCTGTTCCCTACTTTTCACTTAACCTTGAGTAACATGGCTTTACTTCAATCTCTTGGAAGAAAATATAAGAAACACCTGAAAAAACTAGTTTTGTATTTGCTTTCTGGGTCTACAAAAAAATCACAGATTCAGACAGACTATCAGCCACAGAGAGTTCCCATTATGTTCCTAAAACAAAATGCAACAAATAAATGCCACAAATTATAGCAGACAGGAAGGATCAAGAAGGCAACAGTCAAGCTGTGCAACCTGAAGCCTCTGCAGAATTTAAAAACATATTTCAAAATAAATAATATATGCCATATCTGACTGCCCCACAGCCCAGATATCCACAATAATTTATCTTTTTGCAAATATGACAATTGAGATAGATCATAAAAGACTGAAAAGAGAAGTAGAAGCAGTAAGAATTGCTTCAGGGAGTCACTCACTATTTACAGGAGGTCTAGACCAAAATGCAGATAACAGATATGAAGAAATATAGGTGTTCAAGTACAGCAGCTGGAGAGGAAGAAACAAAAGTTGGGGAAGGGAGGAGGCATCAAGGGCTGAACTGACACTTGCATACAGCAGAATCTGTGAGGAAGAACTGACTGCAAGATCTGTGTAATGCAGGGACAACCCAGTCACTGCATCTGTGACCAAACTCCAGCTTTTAGGGATGGCTGCTACGAGTGCCTGAGCCAGACCTTGCCCTTCCTCCCCTTTCCCCACTGACAGCTACGCTGCACACCTCAAATGCTACCAGACATTACCAAGTGCCTGAGTGTTCCCTTAGCCTCCTCTAATTTTTGGATGGCAGAACACCACTGCAGCAGGGTTCCACCTTCAGGCTTTTGCACAAGTGAGGAGGAGCATGGATGGAGCAGGAAGTGATCTGAAAGCATCCCATACTCCTGCTGAGCACTGAGTGCAGGGAGAAGAGAGCACAGTGCCAGCCTGAGAGCACAGCCAGCTCTCCTCTGAACCTGAACAAACTCATTGATTCAGCACCATTAGCTATTTCTTACGTGCTTCATGCCTCAGTGTGGTTTTATATGTTACTAAAAAAAAAAAGCAAAGGTAAAAAACCAAATCAAACCAAACCAACCTTTCTCTCTATCTTGTTGATAAATCAAGATTGTGCCCTTCCTCCTTGGGATGGGAGCTGTGACCTGCTGTTTAATTACTTCAGAAGCTTGCTGATATTAACACAGTGGGCAACAGCCACTGCTAATTCAAAGCATGTGCCACAAAAGGAAACTGCACTTCTGTAGCAGTAACACTTCTTGTAATTCTCTAAGTGGAGAGCAAGAGAATCCTCCTATACATCATAAAGAGATTCCTGAATGAGCATGCTGAAAATCTAGCATTCAAAAGGTCAATTTTAGCAATTTGTTATTAAATTTTGCTATTAAACCTGGTGATCTTAATAATCAGAAGTGGGTTTCCTGTTGCCTCACCACAGAAGGTTGAACTTTTCCATTTGCAACACACACACGATTCCCTGGGAAGCTAAATAATTACCTGACAGAACAGACAAGTTCATATTCAAAAATAGATGCTGTTGCTGAATCAGAGTAATTTGATGTTAATGTTTTATTTTGATAAGGAGTGCCAGTTTGAAAAACCATAGGGTTTAAATGAAAACCAAAGGGTTTTTTTTCTTCAGTCAGTAGTGCAGTGGTGGCTGATGGATTACAGGGGCAAGCAAAGCACGATTTATTCAGGGAGGGAACCTCTCTTACCCAACCAACTGATGGAACTCCTGAAGAACAGACTTTGGGGATGTAAAGCCTATCTATAGGTTAACCTGAAAACACTGATGTGCTTTAATGAACTGAAGCCCCTCTCTTCAGGTTCCTGCCCCGGATATGAAGAAGGGCTTACCTGACCATGGTGTATGTGTCTAACAAAAGGCATTACCTCTCCCTGCACACAGCACCTAGCTTGGACATGTTACCTCTTCATTAGGAACATGCTCCTCAATGTGCTCCTGAGCACTATGTGATGCATCTCAATTCATATCCACTAAAGAATAATAAATAGAGCACTTTGAGTCTAAAGCCTACTGACAGAAAATACAGGAGACAATTTACATTTTGAAGGTAAAGCCCAAAGTCTGATTCACTAAGAATAAAGAAAATGTGGAAGAAAACAGTTATTCCAGAGCCCAGCTCACTCAACAGCAGAGGCTTCACAAAGATGAGAATATTCTGACACTGGTACTGCAGCTGCTTTCTAAGATTGCCACTGGCTGAGAAGCACAAAGGAAGCTAAAAATTAAAATAAGTATGACCATTTCTAAGTCCATTGGACACTGAGACCATCAGAGAAGAAAATGGAACTAAATTTGACAACGCTCTTCCCTGCCTTGCTTTTCAAGCAAGTGCTGTCAAGTACATAGCGTATGGAGATAAACAGATTGTAGATTAGCACTTCCAGCAAAAGCTGAGCATCTGCCCCTGAGAATGCAAGGTCATTACACAGTTTTAGCATCTTCAAAGTTCGGGTGGAGTGTTAGGCTTCCCAACTGCTGCCCACAATGGAGTCAAAGTTGTAAAGTGACTGCCGTTTGCTATCTGCAGAAAAACTTTCAAGAAATCCATTTACACCTCTGATGTGAAAGACTGACTGAATATATTTCAATGATTTTAGTGGAAAGGGCACGAAAAAAATCTCAGCCTGACATGAGACACTGGTACAACATAGGAGTCTGAAGAGTCAGATACTTGGAAACATCTCCCCACAGTAAAGATCATGAAACAGATTTTATTTAAGACAGTTTAAATACGGGTTTGTGTGCGCAAGCATGTACATAAACATACATGTAAACAGCAAGGATGTACTTGTAGATCCATTTAATTGTTATTTGCTTTGACTAGATAAAGTTGCTAAGGGGTTTTCTATAGGTTTCATCCAGTAGAGCCTTGCTGTAGAGCAGGTATTAAGAGGTGTTTATCCTCCAAAAGAATATATAAAATCAATACATGGAATTGGCTGCCAAATCAGACAGGGAAGGGAAGTCACCTAATGAATTTGAAACTATGGTGGCAAATCATTAAGAAAGAAATTATGCAAATAGGAAGAGGGAGGTGGGCACAGATCCAGAGGGACACATGGTAGAAGACAAGTAAGGATTATTGTAATGAGGCATGAAATACATGTGAACTTTCCTTAGTTTCCTTTACCCACAAATTTCCCATGCAATTTTTCATCATTCTTACAGGTCATCAGTACGACACGCATGTGGCAACTGCTAGTGAGAAAAACCTCAGCCAAAGTCATGTCTGATTTGCCTAAAGGACCAGGGCTCGAAAGGAAAAAAAGGGGTTTGTAATCAAGGCCCTGAACCAATGTGTATTTTCTGAAATCTATTACCTACTCGTGCTTAATGCTACAGAGGTTCCTGAATGCTCCATCAGAGCAGGACACAAAACAAGCAGAAGGGTAAGCAGGGTTACATCAAAACTTACAGGGCAGCATTTCCATGCTACAGATAGGGTAAGGTGTGAGAGAAAAGCTTATCAACACTGGATAATTTCATCAGAGACAAGCATAAATGAGAAATGAAACTCAGTCTATTTCTGTGTACCACAGTATTTCTCAAATTTTTGAAGTATTTATTTCAAGAGTTTCTGACACTTTTAGAAAAAAAAAAAAAGATTAATCAAAATAAAGAGAAGCTCAGTTGGTTAGAATATGGAGTTATTAACATCAAAATCCCCAGCCTGCACATGCCACCTCACCACCCAACAAACAAATACAAAAATTTTCCAAACACAAAACCATAGTTTTTATGATTACAATGAGAGTGAAACTTTATGTCAAAATATGTGTTATTTCTATTTCTTATGTCTTTTTTCCCCCCTTGATTTTGTGTGTGGAAGTGTGGTTTCAAATTTTTTTTTCCTTTATTTTTAATAAGCTTGCAAACAACTTTATAATGTTTCACA